TTTTTTACCGTGTACACATCTTTAAGCGCAAATCTATTCTTGTTAGTGCAGTTCTCGATTTCAACGGCAACCTTACTGGCTTGCTCGGTTACCATTTTATGGTCATACCACTGCAGCGTGAGTGGATGTACATCGCCTTTAGCACCGATCATATTTGCTACGCCGGCCTCCATTATCGACACTGACGAACCTTCGTCAAACATGGCGAGGACTTCCTGCTTGCCGTCCGGGCCGTAAATATTAACCGGTAACATTTTAAATAGCAAACCTTGCGAAATTTGTGTTACCCGACAATTTAACAGTGGCTGCACCGCGGCATCCGATTGCGTGACTCGACGTGGCGTTTGGTCAGCTGCTTCCTCATTGTGCAGTAGCTGGTTGTGGTATCGTTGGCATCCATTCACCTCACACCTTCGCCTTGACCGACATTTCTGCGTGCAGTGGCCCTTGCGCAAACATGAAAAACATAATTGCTGTGTTTTGACTAGTTCCCACCGGTCCTGAACGCCTATCGTCTTGAACGACTCGCACTGTGCTATCATATGGCTTCCACTGCAGTGGTAACACTTTAAAGTCTCTTTCGTTCGGTTGATATGCATAAGGCGACGCGGATTGTTCGGCGCAGCATTTTGTTTGCTGCTTTGTGTGCTTGTTGTCGGCATTAGACAAATTATCCTTGCCAAGTCGCTGAGCCACTCCGAAAAATGTTCGATTGTTGGATAAGGCGAGATGGTCGCAGCGTGCTTCGCCCAATCGAATTGTCTGGTTTGCGGCAGCTTGATAATCATTTCCTCAAGCAACGTCACGTTTGACAAATGTTGTTGACAATTCGCGGACTTCAGAAACGCCACCACGTTACGGACTTTTGACGAAAACGGTATAATCCTTTCGACTTTGCTTTCAGGTATTGGCGGGAACTGCTGCAATTGGCTTATTTGCCCTTTAACCAAAATGTCGGGCCGACCAAACCGAAACTCAAGCTCACGCATCACGTTCGGCACATCATTCGGAAAAATTAACATGGCCGCCACTGCCTCTTTTGCCGGGCCAACCAGACATTTTTGCAACCGCATTAAATTTTGCCGGTGGCTGTAACGGAACGCCTGTGTCGTGTCGTTGAAATTTGCGTAGAACAATGGCCATTCTTCAATATTACCGCCAAACGTAGGCAAGTCGTACAACTTTATGTGCGAACCGGTATCCTCCACGACAGCCTGGCGTTGTTCGTCTTGTGCTGGCTGCACACTACTCCCACTTACACTTTGTGGCTGCATACCCTCGCGTAATCGTACAATGTCCCTTTGGCTATCTTCGGTACTTTGTCGAAGCTCCTCCACTGAAGCCCGTAATGCGTTCAGCGTGGCAATAATGGCGTTCACATTTTCTTCGCTGGGCGCTCCTTGTTGTCCCTCCATCGTTGTACTTTCGAACGACGAATCACTTTCGCTGGTTTGTCTGCTATCTGCCTTTCCTGTCGCTCGATTCCGTAAAAAATATCTCCTCGGCTCCGACATGCAACTACTCCAGCGAGTGCAGTTATTTCCGTTACCCGTGTTTATCTGGTGATCTTGCGAAGCGCACAAGTGTAAAAACTGTAAGAATGTCTCACCGCACGCGTTCCACGGAAATTAAATAAACTTTGCTAACGCTTATGTATATGCTTATTTATTGAAGCTTAACAAAAAACATGAAATCTAAATTTATCGTTTGAATATAAAATGATACGCTATATGACTCGTTTTACACTTGTGTGTTTCGTGCGCCTCGCTTAAGCTTCCATCGCTGTATATCTAGAATTTTCATTTTTCAACTTAGCTGCTGTCCATCAATTCGGTGGCGGTAGCGTTGCCACCTACAAAAATATATTACAGGGTGCCTAACATCCCACCCCCCGTGAATCCTCCTGGCATTCACCATCAACTTCTAGTCTGGCTAGTCGGGATGCGGGCCTACGTAGGAATCCACCGGCCGTTTTCACCTGTACGACTCGCACTTGCCCGTCTTTAGCTGGGAAAACCTGAGTGATACGGCCTCGTAGCCATTGCCTGCGGGATAGCGTTGCATCACATACTATCACCAGGTCATTCACTTTCAGTGGCGTAGCTTTATCTTGCCACTTTGTACGACGCAAAAGTTGGGGCAGGTACTCCGTAGTCCAGCGCTTCCATATACGGTCCTTTAGATTTTGTGCTATTCTCCATTGTTTGCGCAGGCAAATTTGCTCATTAACCGGGTGTGGTGTCTGCGTGGAATTTACGCAGCCGAGCAGGAAGTGGTTCGGCGTAAGCGGCTCGTCCTCTTCATGTGACACGGGTAAATCGGTTAAAGGGCGAGAATTAATAATGTTCTCCGCTTCTATTAGCACGCTTTGCAACGTGCCTAACCTTGGCGCCACCTCTTTCAAAGTTTTATTTAAGAGTGCTTTGACGACTCTTATTAGGCGCTCCCAGCAGCCACCCGAGCTAGGGTTCAGAGGGCAATTGAACACCCACTCGATATTGTGTTTTGCTGCTTCTGACTGTATGTGATCTGTGTCAAACAGCTGCTCCGATGCTTTCAGCTCTTTCTGTGCGCCGATGAAGTTGGTCCCGTTATCGCTCCTTATCCTCACAGGTGTGCCGCGGCGATTTATAAAATTGCGAAGGCACAGGATGAACGCGTCGCTTGACAAATTCTCCGCTAGCTCGAGGTGCGCAGCTCGGACAGTCAAACACGTAAATATGACGCCCCACCTCTTTTCTCGACGCCTGCCAATCGCTACGTGAAACGGACCAAATAAATCGACGCCAGTGTATGTGAAAGGGCGCACGTACGGGGTCACACGGTCAATCGGTAGTTGACCCATCATCGGTGGCTGTGGTTTTGCTCTGTCAACCGTGCATATGGGGCACTTTTGGCGTACTCGCTTAAGTAACGCCTTCAAATTGGGAATCCAGTACCTTTGTCTGATGGCGTTGATAGTTACTGCGAGATTCTGATGGTGGTTCCTCTCATGGACTTCTTTGACAACTAAGGCTGACACTCCGTGTTCTGGTGGTAGCAAAATCGGTCGTCGCGCTTGGTATGGTAGGTATGCCGCCTCATCGATGCGGCCGCTCAGTCGTAGTACACCAATTTCATCAACATACGGTGACAGCTTGCATAGAGAGCTTCGCTTACTAAGTTTGCGCGCCGCTGCCAAGTCGGATATCTCATTCGCGTAGCACTCCAGCTGGACTAATTTGCAAATCATGTTTTCGGCAGCTTCGATTTCTGTCACGTTCAGGCTCGTTGATGAATTAACTTCGCCTCTTGGCTGCTTTCGGAACAGGTTCACTGCACGCATCACCCAAGCTGTAGTACGTCGCAGCTTCAGAAACGAACCAAATCTTGAGAAGTCTATGACCGAGTTGCGTGGCTGCACCAGTAGTATCGCTTCGGTCTTAATTTCTTCTGGAAGGACGTATTCCGGTTGTATTGTTAGGGCAGGCCAATACTGCTCGTGGTACTTTAAAAAGTCGGGACCCTTTACCCAACGGTTATTGGTGTCGAATTTCGGTGGACATGATGGGCGCGTTGCAGCGTCTGCAGCATTTTCCCCAGTTGGCACCCATCGCCATTGTTCCGGGGCAGTGGAGGTAAGTATTTCGGATATGCGATGGCCGACAAACGCCTTGTATTTCCTCTGCGATGAATGTATCCACTGCAAAACGGTTTGCGAGTCGCTCCAGAATACCGCCCTCTCGATCGTGAACTCGTGGGATTCTTGGATTAATTACAACAGACGGGTGCCCAGGACAGCTGACTGCAGTTCTAGGCGCGGGATCGACATGAGCTTCGTCGGAGCGGTACGGGATTTTCCCATTACGAAGCTGACGTCAACGTTTCCTTCGTGGAGAACTCGCAAGTAACCCACCGCAGCAAACGCAACTTGACTTGCGTCGACAAACATGTGCACCTCGACTTTACCGATGCTTGCGACGTATGGCGAGTAACATCGTGGAATCGTGAATTGCCTCACACTGTCGAACTCTTGCCACCATTGTGACCATTTCCTGCCCAGCTCCTTCGGAAGAATGTCGTCCCATTCTATTTCGCTCTTCCAGGTCTCTTGAATTAGAAGTTTAGTAATAATTAAGAAGTTAGACAACATACCAAACGGATCAAACACCGCCATAACGATGCGCAGTAATTCCCGCTTGGTTGGTGCACGCGCTCTGTTTAGTACTTCTTGAGGCACGCGATGAAACTGTGTGTGGAATCCGAACGTATCTTCTTTCGTGTTCCAGTACAGGCCGAGCACTTTGTCTGCTATTCCGTTTCGTTCCATGCTGACCGCTTCTCTTGCTGGCGACGTTGATTGTTGGTTCATTGTTTCTTCTACCTCACGACAGTTGGAGATAAAATTTCGCAGCTCGAATCCCGCATGTCGATTTATTTTAACTATCTCTTGGCAGATTCTTACGGCTTCTTCGGGCTCGTTAAAGCTGGCAACTAAATCGTCAACATAGTGTTTGTTGATAATCGTGGATACGGCGTCCGGAAACTGTGCTCTAAACTCTTTGGCGTTTTTATTCTTTATGTATTCGGCTATGCATGGTGAGCATACAGCACCGAATATTAGTGATGTCATCGCGTACTCTTCGATGGGTCGACTTTGGTCTCCGTCGCGCCATAAAAAGCGTTGGGCGTGTTGATCGTTTTGGCGTATCTTTATTTGTGAAAACATTTCACGAATGTCGGCTGATACTCCAATGCGCCCCTGGCGAAATTGCAATAAAATTCTTATCAGCGATTGTGCTTGTTCTGGACCTTTCAGAAGAGCCGAGTTGAGAGACACATTTGCTACGCTGGCTGAGGCATCAAAAACAATTCGTATTTTTTCCGGCTTATGGGGGTTGAAGACGGCGAAGTGGGGCAAGTACCACACGTTTAAGTCCGGCGCGCTGACTTCGGCTTCGTTCAGCTTTCTGGCGTACCCTCTTTCAAAATACTTGGACATTTCCTCTCTGTACCGCGTACGAAACTCGACGTCGCCTCTCATTCGTTTCTCCACTGTCCACAAGCGCTTTTCCGCCATGGCTCGACTGCTTGGCAATTTCGGCGGATACTCTTTCCACAGCAACCCGACTTCGTACGGGTGTCCCACTTTTCTGGTCGTTTGTTGTAAGGTTGAACGTGCGCGCTTCTCTTCGTCTGACTCTAACTTCTCCGGCGACGGATTGACGCCAAAACTATCTGCTGTGAAATATTCTTTTATTAAATCGTTCAGTTGCTGCAATTCTCGCACGAGCAGAACACGGGGGTTCAATGGTGATGGCAACTTCGTTGGACCATATGCAACCCAGCCAAGTGGAGTTTTCGCAGCCAAGGGACTATCGCTGCTGGCTTTCACAATCGCTGTGGTGGCACCGAGATGAGCGTGTTTTAACCCAATCAGCAACACTGGTTTTGCACGATAATAGTTCAAAATGGGCAGATCTTTAAGATGATCGAAATTTTCTTTTCTTAGTGACTGTTCGGGTAAATTCAAGTTTTTTACCGTGTACACATCTTTAAGCGCAAATCTATTCTTGTTAGTGCAGTTCTCGATTTCAACGGCAACCTTACTGGCTTGCTCGGTTACCATTTTATGGTCATACCACTGCAGCGTGAGTGGATGTACATCGCCTTTAGCACCGATCATATTTGCTACGCCGGCCTCCATTATCGACACTGACGAACCTTCGTCAAACATGGCGAGGACTTCCTGCTTGCCGTCCGGGCCGTAAATATTAACCGGTAACATTTTAAATAGCAAACCTTGCGAAATTTGTGTTACCCGACAATTTAACAGTGGCTGCACCGCGGCATCCGATTGCGTGACTCGACGTGGCGTTTGGTCAGCTGCTTCCTCATTGTGCAGTAGCTGGTTGTGGTATCGTTGGCATCCATTCACCTCACACCTTCGCCTTGACCGACATTTCTGCGTGCAGTGGCCCTTGCGCAAACATGAAAAACATAATTGCTGTGTTTTGACTAGTTCCCACCGGTCCTGAACGCCTATCGTCTTGAACGACTCGCACTGTGCTATCATATGGCTTCCACTGCAGTGGTAACACTTTAAAGTCTCTTTCGTTCGGTTGATATGCATAAGGCGACGCGGATTGTTCGGCGCAGCATTTTGTTTGCTGCTTTGTGTGCTTGTTGTCGGCATTAGACAAATTATCCTTGCCAAGTCGCTGAGCCACTCCGAAAAATGTTCGATTGTTGGATAAGGCGAGATGGTCGCAGCGTGCTTCGCCCAATCGAATTGTCTGGTTTGCGGCAGCTTGATAATCATTTCCTCAAGCAACGTCACGTTTGACAAATGTTGTTGACAATTCGCGGACTTCAGAAACGCCACCACGTTACGGACTTTTGACGAAAACGGTATAATCCTTTCGACTTTGCTTTCAGGTATTGGCGGGAACTGCTGCAATTGGCTTATTTGCCCTTTAACCAAAATGTCGGGCCGACCAAACCGAAACTCAAGCTCACGCATCACGTTCGGCACATCATTCGGAAAAATTAACATGGCCGCCACTGCCTCTTTTGCCGGGCCAACCAGACATTTTTGCAACCGCATTAAATTTTGCCGGTGGCTGTAACGGAACGCCTGTGTCGTGTCGTTGAAATTTGCGTAGAACAATGGCCATTCTTCAATATTACCGCCAAACGTAGGCAAGTCGTACAACTTTATGTGCGAACCGGTATCCTCCACGACAGCCTGGCGTTGTTCGTCTTGTGCTGGCTGCACACTACTCCCACTTACACTTTGTGGCTGCATACCCTCGCGTAATCGTACAATGTCCCTTTGGCTATCTTCGGTACTTTGTCGAAGCTCCTCCACTGAAGCCCGTAATGCGTTCAGCGTGGCAATAATGGCGTTCACATTTTCTTCGCTGGGCGCTCCTTGTTGTCCCTCCATCGTTGTACTTTCGAACGACGAATCACTTTCGCTGGTTTGTCTGCTATCTGCCTTTCCTGTCGCTCGATTCCGTAAAAAATATCTCCTCGGCTCCGACATGCAACTACTCCAGCGAGTGCAGTTATTTCCGTTACCCGTGTTTATCTGGTGATCTTGCGAAGCGCACAAGTGTAAAAACTGTAAGAATGTCTCACCGCACGCGTTCCACGGAAATTAAATAAACTTTGCTAACGCTTATGTATATGCTTATTTATTGAAGCTTAACAAAAAACATGAAATCTAAATTTATCGTTTGAATATAAAATGATACGCTATATGACTCGTTTTACACTTGTGTGTTTCGTGCGCCTCGCTTAAGCTTCCATCG